TCTGAGTTAGCTTTCCATAGAATCAAACAGTTCATCATTTGGAGTTCGGAGTAGAGAGTTATGGCCAAAATGCCACAGGTGCACAGTGCTGATTTTTTCTACAATTGCTCCTTGCTTCTTAAAATGTGCTTGCCATTGAACTTGGGCCAATGAATTCAACCTTCTTCCTTATTGCAATACTGAATGTGTCCATGAGATATTGGGTCATCTTTCTTTGTAAGACTTTGTCAAATAAGCCCCATATGATTTTGTTCTTCAAAGGCCCATAAAGCCTTATTTTTTTTTTGGGGAGAAATCCTGAAAATGGACAAAAACACAAAAACACCTGTAAGGTATACCCTTGGCTTTTAACAAACTGAGTATACACAATCAGTATCACTAACTTCCCATCTTGTGAATGTCTAATAAACATCTTATGATCACCTTACCCTTGAGTATACCCTTGGCTTTTAACAAACTGAGTGAATTTCTCAAACCAGGCTCTTGGTGACTGTTTCAACCCATATAAGGACTTCTTCAGTTTACACACCTTTGTGCCAGACTTTTCACCAAATCCTGGAGGTAAATCCATGTACACTTCTTCCTCCAGATCTCCATTGAGGAATGCATTTTTTTACGTCCAACTGTTGCAGAGGCCAGTCACGATTAGCTGCAAGTGACAAAAGAACTCTTACAGAGTTTAGCTTTGCGACTGGGGCAAATGTCTCCAAGTAATCAATGCCATAGGTCTGAGTGAATCCCTTGGCAACCAATCGAGCTTTATACTGTTCTAGAGAGCCATCAGATTTATGCTTGACTGTAAACACCCATTTGCACCCTACAGTTGTCTTTCCTCTTGGTAGATCAACTAACTCCCAAGTGCCATTTTTTTCAAGAGCTTTCATCTCCTCGAAGACAGCCTCCTTCCACTCAGGATCTTTCAGAGCATCCTGCACAGTATTAGGAATCTCCATACAAGACAATTGTGAGGTAAAAGCATGAAAAACAGGTGAGAGATGTTCATATGACACATAATTAGACAATGGATGCTGGGTGCAAGACCTCACACCTTTCCGGACAGCAATGGGAGGTTCAGAATCATTGAACTCAGGATTGGAATTAGACTCAGGTTCAGAACTAGTGGACTCAGAACTCGAAGATGAAATGGACTGAACATGAGGTAAAGGCTCAGTGAGGACATTGCCTGTAGGGTTTACGGATTCTGAGTAGTTCAAAGAATTAGAAGACCCTTTCTCTCGAGTTGTCCTTTGTCGCAAGTAGACAATGTCAAATGGTACCAACGCTGTGATTCTTTTTCCTGTTTCTCTTTTGTTAGTCGTTATAGGATCATGAACATCATGAGATGGCACTGTAGGAGGACCTGCCTTTTCAGTATCTAAAAAACTCGACTCATTTTCTCCTGGTATAATAAAGCTTGGATTTTTAGGTTGAATAATCATAGTTGGAGAAGGATCATTTTGCGAGTCTTCAGTTTGGAAAAAATCATAAAAAACAACCGAATCTTTGTTTTGGTTCCCCCCTTGAAGATGAGGCTTGAAATATGAATGTAATTCAAAAAAAGTAACATCCATGGTAACAAACATTTATACCCCTTTTGAGTGGGAGTATAACCAACCAACACACATTTTGTGGCTCGAGGTTCAAGTTTTCCTCGATTATAACTATGAATATGAATAGATGCAGTACAACCAAATATCTTTAGTGGTAACGAAGAAGAAAGCCGATTTGTTGGATAAAACTTATGAAAAACATCAAAAGGTGTATTTCAAAGCTTAAAATCTTATTAGGCGTTCAATTTATGAGATATGTAGCAGTAAGAAGGGCTTCACCCCAAAGATATTTAGGTACCTGAGTGGTAAAAAGCAATGCCCGAGCTACTTCCAATAAGTGTTTGTTTTTTCTTTCAGCCAAACCATTTTGTTGTGGAGTGTCAACACAAGAGCGTTGATGAACAATTCCTTTTTCAAGAAAAAATTGGCCCAAAATGTTTTTGAAATATTTTCGACCATTATCACTCCGCAATATTTGAATATTTTTTTGAAATTGTGTTTGTACCATGGTGTAAAATTTTTTGAAAATTGTTCCCACTTCAGATTTTTCCTTCATCAGATAAACCCAACTTAATCTCATGCGATCAACAATAAAGGTCACAAACCATTTTTTGCCAGAATACGTAGATGTTCTACATAGGCCCCAGATATCACTATGAATCACAATAAATGGTGTAGTTGGTTTGTGGTGGGGGGGTGGGGGGGTGTGGTGGGTTGGTAGAATCTCAGTTCAAAAGAGCTTCTGAAGTTATTTAGCAAACTGACAAACATCACATTGAAAGGAAGATGAACTTTTATTCCGAAATAAATTGGGAAACAAGTATTTTAAAAACTCAAAACTAGGATGGCCTAACCTATACTGCCGTACCATAATATCATTATCTTTGGAAACAGAAACAGAATTTAAGGAAGTACTTTGACATCGTCTACTCGAGTCAGGTCCATCGTCAAAATAATAGAGTCTATCTTTTTCCTTAGCACTGCCAATCATCCTCCCCGTGGCCAATTCCTGAAACTCACAATAAGAAGAGTAGAAATTAGCTTGACACTGATGATCAGAGGTAATTTTAATGATGGACAACAAATTGCAAGACAAATTGGGAATGTGGAGCACATTATGGAGGGTTAACAATGGAGTGAGTTTGATAGTTCTTATCTCGGCAATTACCGAGAGTGAACCATCAGCAATTTTGACCTTTTTATTGCCTGCACACGACTATAGGATGAGAACAATTTGGAGCAACCGGTCATATGATCAGTTGCGCCTGAATGAATTATCCAAGAATGAACAGGGTTAGGAATAACACCAAAAAACGTAGTAGCAAGAGAGTTACCCTTCTGTACCAAAGAACAAGACGTATTTAAGGACAGTTTGGAGAAAACAATTTTTATAGGTGCTCTAATTGCTCCTTGGTAAAAGGGACTGCATCTAAGTTGGTAGAAAGCTCGTGAGTCTCTTCAGCAGTGGCTTGGTAGGCGCGACCATCACTTTTGGATTTTGGCTTCCAATTTACTGGTTTACCATGAAGCTTCCAACACATCTCCTTCGTATGCCATGGTTTTTTGCAATGCTCGCACCACGGTTTCTTATGCCTGTCGTCGTCAAAATCAACACCTCTTGACACAAGAGCAGATCTCTCAGGTTCCAGGTTGAAACCAGGTTCGGTGTTGCGCAGCATGATTTTTCTTCTTGACTCCTCACGTCTAACTTCAGAAAAGACTTCCTAAATAGAGGGCAATGGCTTTCTGCCGAGAATGCGGCCTCAAACCTCTTCCAAACTCCGATTAAGGCCAGCTAAAAACATGTAAACCCTGTCGTTTTCCTCTCTCTTCTTGTGGCGAGTGTAGTCGTTCGAATTCTGCCAAACATCATCATAACACTGATCAAGTTCCTGCCATAAAGTTACCAATTTTGTTATAATAAGTAGTAACATCGCGATCAAATTCGTTATAATAAGTAGTAACATTGCGATCATTCTGCTTGGATTTTCAGAGTTGAGTTTTCATCTCAAATATTTGAGAAGAATTCTCCAGGTTTGAATAAAGATCTCGAATGGCCTCCTAGACATCTTGAGCAGTGGGAAGAAATAGGTGAGGTTTTCCAATGGTAGGTTCCATGGAATTGATGAGCCAAGCAATAACAAGAGAATTTTCGAACTGCCATTTTTTCAGATTAGGGTCACCAGCACCAGGTTTCGATATTTCGCCAATCAAAAGCCTAATTTTGCCTCTGCCATCGATTGCCAATTTTATGGACTGAGCCCACTCACAACAGTTGTGCCCATTGAGTTTTGTAACTGTGAGATAAAGTGTTGAATTCTGGGAATAGTAATCGGTAGATACAGGTGTGGGATTGGGCGGAATATTCGTGGGAGAAATAGTGGGATTGGGGCGGAATGGTTTCGGAAGTACCGGAAGAGACAGTAGGAGTTCCTTGGGCGCCGGTCATCGCCAACTTATACGACAGCATCAAAAAATAGAAAAAAAGCGCAAGTCTCTGATACCATGAAGGTTTTTTTAAGAAGAAAAATATTCAGTCTTCTTATCTTTCAAGAGAGACAATTACAAGATAAATAGTAGAGGAAGGCCACCAAATCAGGAAGCCCATAAAATCAGCAAATCTCTAGGCTAGAAAACAGGAAACGGAAACTACTAAAATCTGAAATAGTAATTTCAGATTTTATTTAAAAAAATAGAATTTCCTAATTTATTTCCTAGAAATCCGACACAATCCATATAAATCAACATTAATTTCTGTATATAGAAGCAACCACCTATAAATCACTTGCATCAAGTAAGCCCAAGGAGAGTCAAACCTGAGAGTTCAGTTCCTCAAATATCACATCGGGCAACTGAACCTGCCTGTGAGAGTTGGTACTTTAGATAAAATAGAAAATGCTAATTATGCAATACTCAGTGTTGTCCCCATTAATTGATGTTGACGGGACAGGTGGACTGGATTGGATGCTTTAGTAAAGTTTAAAATAGGACCATTTCAATTTTAATGTGTATACTTGGGGTCCATTTTCAAACATTTTGATGAAACAATAATTCTAACCAACCTTGCATGAAAAACTTACACCTTTATGAGGTCAGATGAGGTAATCAACAACTTAGAAGAACAGAAAAGAAGGATATTCAATATGCTTTCCTTACCAATTTCCATCTTTTCAGTGTACATTTAATTAATTCCTTGAAATTTGCACATTTTCTTGTTTCTTTAATGCTAGTAAGTATGGACATGGATGTTAAACTTTTATTCCTTATATCCACCTCATTATGTACTTGCATCTCTTCATTGAAGTAATTACGTTGTTTCCATGTTATCCGGGGATCATCCATTATTGAATTCATGTGAAAATTGGATTAAATAATACATTGATCTTCTGGAATTTTCAGTTTGATTATTTGGATACCTCACTTTTAATTATTTTTTAATCTTTAGTACAGCTTGTGGAGAAGTTTGGGATTGATCCTAATAATGCATTTGCATTCTGGGACTGGGTCGGGGGCCGATATAGTGGTATGTATATTTGCTCTCTTTCTTTAGTTTTTATGATTCGCATGCCATCTGATTTGTCTTCAAATTACCTATTACAGTTTGTAGCGCTGTTGGAGTGTTACCTTTATCTCTCCAATACGGTTTCTCAGTTGTTGAGAAGTACGGTAACATACAAATTTCTTCTACTTAATTGCAGCACGCATATCATTTGTAGATTTGATTCATGACACCAATCTGGAACTGATATATAGCTGGCAGTGTGTATTAGGTGTATATTTACATTCTCCTGCTGCTTCAATAACTTTTTTAAAAGAACACATTGATTGTGAAAAGTTAAAACTGTACTTTTTTTTTTCCCCAAAAATCTTATTTATCAACACGCAGTTCTCAAAAGGAGCTCTATCCAAGTTCAACACCGTGTCAAACACAACACTCCCATGTGCCCATGAACAAAAAAGTCAATAATTCATTAGCCTGTAATAAAGAAAATTCCTTGATTAGAGTTGTAGAAAGAGGCATCTAATAGAAGATCTTATCTACAAGGGAGAGGGAGGGAGGGAGAGAGAGAGAGAGAGGGCGTACTAGTGGTTGCTGTATGCATATAGAATTACGATGTGGTATTTCTTAATGTTCATTTCTCAAATTCGACATTGTTCATATTGACACCCTAATAAATCAGTCGAAGTTGAGTATTTTGTCTCATAAAAACTAAATGTAGATAGAAAATTATTTACTTATATAGTGCTTGTTATCTCCGTGCGTGCTCCCCATCCTCCCCAATCCTCTGTGTCCATGTTAGACAGAATTTAGATGTTTTCTTTTGACTCCAGTTCTCCTCTTCCCATCCCCTGCCACTTCCTTTCCCCCCAACCCCAAAATATAAAATGGGGAACGAAAAAAGAAGTATGTTTTTAAATTATTTTATTTCTGTAGTGGCTAATTAAAATTTCAGATGGTATGATTGATGATTTAATATTTCATTATCTCCACAAATAAAGATGAGTTAAGCAGTTGAATACTTGCTACAGAAGCCAAAAAATTAATGCAATTGTTACCTGTGTCAATTTCTATTAGCCACGTCACATACAAGCTACACAAATTGGTTATATTTGCTTTCTGGGTTTTTTGATCTAAAGTGCTCTTCTTAGTGGTTATAATTTCTTAAAGATAGAATTCAAGATTTCCAAATTTTTAACCCATTAGTATTTTACATTGGCACAATTTTCATCGTGCGTTATTTCAGTTTGACTTGGTTTTGGTAGATGATTGCCTGAATTATTTTATTTTCTTACTTGAAGGTTTTTGAAGGGAGCTTCAAGCATTGATCAACATTTCTATTCAGCACCTTTTGAGGAAAACTTACCTGTATGTGCCTCACATATGTAACCTTTTCTTGATCTTCCATTTTGTGTTGTATGAGATATGGCACAAGGCAATCTTTTGCTAGTGTCATGGTACTTAGAATGCTTTTTCAAGGAATTTCTTTCTTCTTCTTCTTCTTTTTTTTCCCTGAATTTTTTCAAGGAATTTCAGCAAAAAGGTTGTGTTTGTATACTGTATTGTTTACATTCTTTTGGAGTGATCTTCTGATCTTTGAGGTTGGGCCCATTAAATTCTAGGTTTCTTGCCTTTGCATGCGGGTCATATGTACCCTACTATGCCAGACAGGGAGCAAGAACATGAATGTTTATTTCCTTGTAACTACATCCTAGAGCATCTACCAATTTATATATAATAAGTTATGTGTCCGTAAGGAGTTCAATGATATTCTATAATGACCATAGATGACATACCTCTTATCACAATTTGGTGGTTCAAATGGCTGTAAGTTGATGGCTGTGTGTTCAAGTCACCCCATCAGTAAAATTTTCGCGTTTTAGCGGAAAAAAAAGTGGCTGAAATGTCAAGACGCGGTCAAAATCAGTGGATTGGACAGGATTCTTCCCTCTATCCGCAAATCTGTGGATGGGAAAAGGAATCTGACCCTCTCCAATGAATTAGTATCCTAGCATGTGCCACTACAATAGTGGATGTTCTGGTTGCCTTCGCTGGATGCACTTCCACAGTTTCACTTATATAGTTATATGTTTATAAGACTTTCACTTATATAGTTATATGTTTATAAGACTTGTCCACTGTTTGTTAACTTTGCATCATTCTTCAGGTGCTTTTGGGTTTGTTGAGCATATGGAATGTCTCATTTCTTGATTATCCAGCAAGAGTGAGTAAATTTTCTTCTACAGACTCTTTCATTTCCACCTTTTAAGCATTCTCTAACAATGTCTTCTTATTATTGATGCCATACACATTGAAAACTTCTAATATTCCTCCAGGCCATTCTTCCTTACTCTCAAGCCCTCGAGAAGTTTGCCCCACATATTCAGCAGGCATGTTGACAATAGCTTTTCTGCTTGCATGATTTGAAAACTTCTTTGTAATGTTCGTATACCCTTATAAACTCACTCCAACTTAGGTTAGCATGGAAAGCAATGGAAAAGGGGTATCAATTGATGGTGTGCCTCTTCCCTATGAGGCCGGTGAAATTGATTTCGGTGAACCAGGAACAAATGGTCAGCACAGCTTTTACCAATTAATTCACCAGGTAACTTCCTTGTTTTGTATAATGTAGTATGCAAAGAAAAAGAAAATCTCTTGTTATAAAATTTTCTTTTCAAACTCCAAGTACATAAAATATATCAACTTTTAACTTCAAATTTTACAGTGCACCCTGTAATCCCGCTGTTGATGCATCAATTCCAAGTATTTTCAGAAAATGCCCAGAAAAAATAATTTTAGTACATTAACTAGTTTTACTGTTTGATATTTCTTTGGATTGAAGATTGCTACTTGTCTAGAAATAAGACTGTTACTCAGTCTTAAACCTTGTTAAGGGATAGTGCTGGGAGGGACAGACTAAGTACATAATTACTATTTGACTCTATAAGGTCTAAAAGTAATCTGATTGATGGGGTTGACTGAAACAGAATAGTAACAATCGAATACCTAAGATTGTTCTGAACTAACAGACATAGAGGAGGGTGAACAGGTCTTACAAATACTTATGGATACTTTTATGCTCTTTAAATTAAACTTAATTTACCAATTAATTATTACCTTAATACTTGTAAAAATATTAGTATTCAATTCCAATTCACAAATATAAAATGAGCAGTAAATCAAAAAAATGAAGTAAAAAGAGAGTAAGTGAGACATTCAAATTTTCATGGAAAACCATCAAAAGACAGTAAAAGGCCATGGGACCTCGTCTGGTCAGGAACAATCTACAGTCATTCCAAGATCTCTAACTGGTCACAATTCAGTACAGTCGAATTCCTAACTGGTCTCTAGGCATGCATGGTAGAAAACCAAATCTTCAGTCATTTGAAGATCTCCAGGTCATTAATCTAATCCATCTACAGCATTTGATTCCCATGATCATGTTTCTCTATTGATTACTCACCTCTCTGCACTGATGTACTGTGTTGCTCTGGTCAATTGTTGCAGAACTGATTTCCCAGTTTGATGTGCATTCAATCACTCAAGTATAAATTATATGGTTCCTAGATTGAATATGTGGAGAACATGTCTAAGAGTGTAAAAATATGCAAAAACCCAAAAACTCACTCTTGATCTTCCCACAAATTTCTCAAAGTGTTTTTCAATGTTAAAGCATGAAAGATTCTCCCTCTCAGTGTGACCTAACCCATAAATTTTTTTTTTTTTTTTTTTTTTTGATAAGTAAAATTCGATTAGAAGAGCGTTCAAAAGGGGAATGCGTCCCTAATACAAAAAACGAAAGTGGAACCTAAGGCCCAATAGAGTCCAAAAGATCAACTAAGTCATCGGTCGAGGAGCAATCGCTTCCTTTCACATAACAGAAAATAGAACGAAGAATATGCATTTTCAAAGTCGCCACAGACGTGTCCTTTCCTTCAAAATTTCTGCTATTCCTTTCTCTCCAAATGCACCACCAAACACAGTGTGGAACTATCCTCCAATAGTCACGACCTAACCCATATTTATAGTCATCAAGATAAACTTACCATGTTTTAGAACACTAAATCTATGTAAAACACTGAATTCCGAGAGTCCTGTTCGCAGCAGGATTCTCGATCGATCAAAGTATCAATTGAACCTCTCTGAATGAGTCCCGATCGATCAACATATCGATCGAAACTCTGGAGTTCTGTCGATCGATCGACAAAGTCTTGAACAAGCGAACCTTGCTGTATTGAGGTTCTAATTCCAATTTTCTTAAAAACAATTTTTAGCTTAGTTTAAAAAATAAAATAAAAAAACAATTAACTTTAAAGCATTTTCAAAACATGTTAAGCCCAAACCTATGAATAAAATAAGCTAACCTAAGGTCAATTTAAGTTCATTTACCAGTAACCTATCAAAGTTATTGAATATCCATCTGTCTTACTTTCTGTGTCTGCCATGTCTTCAACTGATGTTCTGGATCAACTCAACCGACTCACTGACACTATGAAAAACTATGTTTTGAAGAGGAATATGACCACACGTAACTAAGTTTTCTAACACTGATTCGTTACCTTATGTATAAGAATGTGTATAGGATGTGTTCTATAGAGCTCACCCTATAGACACAGTTAACATGTATCAGCTCTCTTCTTTTTTTTTCTTGTTATTTTTTTATTTTTTTTTTAATTTTTTCTTCTGAAAAATCATATTCTTCTTGCACTCAAGTATGATGTATGTATAGTAACCTTCTTTTCTCTCTTCTCTCTCTCTTTTTTTTTTTTTTTTTTTTTTTTCAAATTGGTGAAAAAGATAACCAGTCATGAAAACACATCTGGTAATGTTTGTTAAGTTTTGCATGATATTGCATTTGTTTCAGCCCAAATCTGAAAGTAGAAAAAGTCATTTTCACTTATTTTTGCTATTGTAGCTGAACAAATGTAATGAGAATTGTTTCAAAAACCCAATATGATGTAAATACCATTTCTTTAAAATAATTCAAACATTTGTTTTATGAAACATTGTGCAACAAATTAGTTAATAAACATGTTTTTATTCCAGAATAAATCACACCACAAACCTTTTTTAAAATAAAATAAAAATTGTTGCCAAAAGGACCCTTAATTTCCATATTTTATGTTTCTAAAAAAATTTACAGCAACGTTTTCTTGAATTATTACGTACTACTGAATTTTGATTACCTCACAACAATATTTCGGCTTCTTGTCTTACTGCACTGTTAGTTGGAAGAAATTTTTTTATTTTACCATGTTCAATATGCCCCTAAACAAATTCCTGCCTCCATCACTGACTTTGAGCCATCTTCTTGGAGCTTTCAGGGGCGTGTTATTCCTTGTGACTTTATTGGTATTGTGAAGAGTCAGCAACCTGTGTATCTGAAAGGTACGCTGTTTCTTTTCTTCTTTGTTTTGTTTTCTTTTTTTGGTGGTTCTTGGAGGGGACAGTCGCTTTCTGTCTATTAGAAGCATTTGGCCTCAGATCATATGTAGGGCTGAAACTAGTGCGGGCCGACCTGAACTCAAACCAATTTTCACATGATTGGGCAACTAGTTCACAATTAGGGTTGATGTGTCATGCAACCTGAACCCTGCCCGTATTGGGCGACCCGAGCTTAATCCAAATTCTAACTGACTTTATATTTACTTATAATGTTAGATATTATATCTATAATTATGATTAAGCTATTTTTGTTTCTTTTTCTTTAAATGTTTTTAATTATATGAATAACTAAATTATTGAGTGTTTGGCTATTATCTGCTATATATTTATACTTAGTTTTTAGATTTTTTGCTATGAGTAACCCAACCCCAGGCTAACATGAGATCAACCTGATTTGCTCAACCAAAGTCCCGAAATTTTTAGCTTGGTTTGAACTTAGGTTGGGGAGGTCAGGTTGGATTGAATTTAAAGATTATTTTATCTTTGGTTAAGCCTGACTTACTCGTCAATCTACAGAGCCCCCCCAAGTTGCACCCCTAATTGAATATTATCAGAACCACTTGGTGATTAATGGCATAGCAGAAGGTGGCTTTCTAATGCATTTTCCAGATTTCCATTTCTTTATTTTGGATTGAATTTGTATTGCAGGTGAAGTGGTGAGTAACCATGACGAGCTAATGTCTAACTTTTTTGCACAGCCAGATGCCCTTGCTTACGGGAAGGTAGAGATATATGCTCTTTCTGATTATCAGTGTTTTCTCTTTTTACATAGTTAAATTTCGTGTTTTATCAAATAATAGAAGTTCTCTGAACTTAATTTTGGCTTAATGAAAAGGGGGAAAATTAAGAAAAGGATAAAAGAAAATGTGAAGAGAACAAAACAAAAAGAAATGGTCTTTTTATTTGGTCCACAAAAAGGAGCTGAAGTGAACTGCAGAATCATAATGATGATTTTGGGAAACTTTGATGCTGGGTATTTTGTTGTGAAGTGTTGGTTTTGCATTATGCAAACATATATTAGGTTTTTTAAGGGTAGCTTATACAACTAACTCCTTTCAATCTTGTTATTAATCTTGCTTCACTTCGGTTGGAATGAAAGGTACATTTGCCTCCTCATGCAGTTTGCAGAGGCGAGGAATCTTAATTCCTGACCTTTTTTTTTGCCCTTTTTGGGTGTTCCATTATGTTTCCTGTAATCTTGATTGCAATTATAAGCATACATCTATATGGCATGTATTTCATTTCTTTTTTTAATTCATCACCCCTCTCTTTCCCTTTCCTTTCCCAATTAGTGTCTTGGTTTGATTACAAGAGACGATTATCTAGGAAACTAGGACAGGATACACATAACATATCAATTAATTTTGAAAAAGGAATCTCATGTATAAAATCTGAAAATTTTTGAAGTACCCAAAAGAAAAAAAAAAAAATTAGATATAATCATAAGATTGTTTATTTTAGTAAAACATAAGAATTGTTTTATGTCGAAATTGAATATTTGAAATGAGATGACTAAAGCATTTTATAAATTATTTATATTCATCTATATAAGTATATATGCATACACATAGACAAACGAGTGTAGTCTATATGTACACACAGATGTACCCTCACATATTGATACATTTATATAGACGATTCCAGAAAAAAATTGCAGCAGTAGATATGAAGCACACACAGGATTCATCCAACTTGTACGTTCCAATATAAAACAACAAAACACCTTCCTAGTAACTATTTATAGACTTCTTGAAATCCTTGTTTTAACTATTTGTCATATTCTACAGATTCTGTAATGGAGTTTGTTTCTTTTGAACTGCTTGGATTTGTTAGTATTGCATCTGCCTTGTGATGTAAGCAACTGGCTGAATATCAGTGTATCTAAACAAAAGTCACTTTCTTACAGAAACCCGAAGAGTTGCAAAATGAGAATGTTGCCCAGCATCTTATTCCTCACAAGGTGATTACCTTTCAGTTTCCTTTTTATTGTCCTCTTTACTTAAATTGGATCTATAATCTTAACAGTTTATTGTCTTTCACAGACCTTCTCTGGCAATCGACCTTCTCTTAGCCTTCTACTTCCATCATTAAATGCTTATAATATTGGACAGGTTTGAGGCTTCTTTTAATTTTTTTGTCTAACTCATGAAGTTCACATACATTTTCGTAATTGTTGGAAGTATACTAGGTATATAAGTGATGCTTTAGAGTCCATGTGTCTTCACTACCTGACCTTAAGTTTCCTATGTTCCATTTAGGGTTACTCAAATCTTTTGAGTAACAACTCACAAGATGTGATTGAGCATGTTGTCTTAGTTTCCTTATCTATTTCTTTATTCATTTTTCCACTTTTTTTTTTTTGAGATGGTTTGAAGAAGCCCTGAATCCCAGGTCTGTCGAGGCCAACTCCATGCCACTCGGCCTATAATCTGTTATCCTCAGTAGAGCATTTGAAACTTAATCTAGTGTTCCAAGTGGTAGTGTGCCTTGTTGTTCTACTGTGTGGTGTGAATACTTTATGGTGACAACACTAAATATTGCTACAGCTATACCGACCACCCTTCCTGCTTAATTATATCCAGACTGCTGAATTTAATGTTCTCTTTCTAACTAATAGAACAATATTCCAGCTTTATATACTTTTCATGAATGGATGCATTGTAAGTCATCCAGAAGTCCTATAGAACCTAACTAAGGATAATCGTTTAAGTGGAGCACCATTGGTGTAGGTCCAAGAAGTGTTTCTACTTTTTAGCATGTGAATCTGAAATATTTGTATATGAGAACACATTGCCGACTCTCCTCATTCTAAATATAGTTTCATCCTTTTTCCTGCAACAGATTGTTTTTCAATTACTAGAGATATAGGTTATTAGAGACGAATTATGTATTGATAACAACATTAATTAAAAAGAAAAGAAAGAAAAAGAGGACACATTCGGTTTATAGAAATTATCAGATGTAGTAGATTTCCATTAAAAGCGATTTGTATTTCAGCATGTTCAGATAAAATTAGCCTTTGAAGGTAGTGGGTAAATGGGTCAGTAGTTCAATCGTTAAGTCATGCGGTCAAATCAGACATCATAGAAATAATATGGTAGTTACTACACATAAGAGAAAATAATTTAAGTGCAAGAAGTGAGTCTATATTATATTCATGCATGAAGACATGAATAAAATGTATTTACATAAATATGTATCATGGTTGTTAAAATCTTTGATACTGAATTGATCCCAAATCTACAAGATTGCACGAATTATGAGATCTCAAGTCAACTACTATTCTTCCCATTCTTGTTGCACAGGCTTGTATTGTTAATCTTGTGTTTATTTCTGATAAAGGACCTGAAACTCTGAAACCCAGTATGGGCACTTTTCATGAGTTCCATTCCACGGGGCGATTTGAGAAATCGCTTAACGCATCTTTTATTGCCCTTATTCCAAAAAAGGGTGGTGCTTCTAATATCAAGGATTTTAGACCCATTAGTCTGATCGGGTGCATTTACAAGATCATTGCAAAAGTCCTTGCCTTTAGATTGAGGGAGGTCCTGGATGGAGTTATCTCTGAGTCTCAGAATGCTTTCGTTGGGGGTAGACAGATTCTGGATTCCACCCTTATTGCTAGCGAATGTGTGGATTCTAGACTTCGTAGTGGGACTCCTGGTGTTCTGTGCAAGCTGGATATTGAGAAAGCCTATGATTATGTTTGCTGGAATTTCCTGTTCTATCTGTTGGAGAGGATGGGTTTTGGTGAGAGATGAAGGAAGTGGATTGTTTCTTGTGTTTCCACTGTCAGGTTTTCGGTGTTGGTGAATGGCTCTCCTTCGGGGTTCTTTGACAGTTCTCGTGGGTTGAGACAGGGGGATCCTCTCTCCCCTTTTCTTTTTATTATTGTTATGGAGGCCCTTAGCAGGCTGATGAGAAGGGCGGTGGATTTGGGTTTTCTTAGGGGTTTCAAGATTGGCCCGGAATCAGTTCAGCAGTTGGAGATCCCTCATTTACTTTTTGCGGATGACACTATTGTTTTTTATGAGGCTGATGTATCCCAGTTGAGGTATCTGAGATGTGTTTTGGTTTGTTTCCAGGCTGTTTCTGGTTTGAAAGTTAACGTGGGAAAGAGTGTGATTGTTCCTGTGGGGGAGGTTCAGGAGGTGGACACTCTGGCTGCAGTTTTAGGGTGTGGGACGCAACGCTTTCCCATCTCGTACTTGGGTTTGCCGCTGGGGGACTCGGCTAGGAGGGTGGGAAGTTGGAACCCGGTGATTGAGCGAGTCGAGAGAAGATTAGCGGGTTGGAAAAAACAATATCTGTCAAAGGCCGGTAAAGTTACGTTAGTGAAGAGCACTTTGTCAAGCCTTCCAACGTATTTTCTTTCGCTTTTTCGTATTCCAGCCTCTATTTCCATGGTGTGATGATAGGCCTTTGGCCCTTTTGTTTCCCAAGCTTTTCAGGATTGCTGTTGACAAAAATGCTATGGTTGCTGACTACTATTGCCTTGATAGTGGAAGGTTGCCTTGGGATGTGCGTTTCCGGCGAGCTTTTTAGGATTGGGAGCTGGATGATGTCACTAGGTTTTTGGCTCTCCTTTACGGATAGGAGGTGGAGGGGTCTAGGGCAGATTCCTTGATTTGGGTGCCTTCTTCTCAGGGGATGTTCCAGGTCCGGTCCTTTTTTGTGTGCCTTTCTGGTTTTCATGGTACCTTATTCCCATGGAAGACGGTGTGGAGGTCTAAGGCGCCTCTTAGGGTGGCCTTTTTTGTGTGGACTGCAGCTTGGAGTAAGATTTGACTTTGGACAATTTGAGGAAGCGAAGGCATATCATTGTTAATAGTTGTTGTCTTTGCAAGATTAATGGGGAGTCGGTGGATCATCTTTTGTTGCACTGTCCTGTGGCTCATGATTGTTGGAGTTTGATGTTTGGCCTGTTTGGTATTCATTGGGTCATGCCTCGGTCATCTCGGGAGTTGTTAGATATGTGGAGGGGTCAATGGGTGGGGGCTCAGGCCAGAGTTTTTTGGAGGGTGACCCCTTTTTGTATTTGGTGGAGCCTTTGGAGAGAGCGTAATGGAAGATCTTTTGAGGGAAAGGAATCCTCCATTGGGGTGTTAAAATTTTCTATCATTTGTAATTTGTTTTGTTGGGGTCAGGGGAGAGACTACTCCTCTCTTGAGGATATTGTTGATTTTATGAGCTCTTTGAGTTCATAGGCTCCGTTTTGTCTTTGTATAGTTTGGGACGCGTTCCCCTTTTGAACGCTTTTATACAATTTACTTATCAAAAAAAAAAAAAAAAAACTCTGAAACCCAGATGGTATTATACTATTATAACACAGATACAAAGACCCACTTAATTGTCTAAATAAGACATGCAAAAAAAAAAAAAAACTTTTTGACCAAGACACAACTCTTTTAGTCTTCTTCAGATTAATCAACTGCTTTAACAACTAATTTAGGCCATTTGTTTCCTCATTCAATTAGCATGAGTTCGACATGTTTGCTTCCCTTTTTCTATGTTTTTTTCTTTTGGTGGGTTCTTGGAAAACTCTCTCTCTCTATAACTTGGTAACTTTGCTTATGAAAATCAATCTCTCATGGCCTCGTCTACACATACCTCAATTCACATTTTTGTTTTCCTTCCCTATGTTATAGGCTCTGGGAGATCTTTGCATGACCATTGACCCAAGTATATCAAAATAGAACCTTTTCATATATGAATTGAATATTTTTGTGTAATGTTGGATCATTTATAAATGATGATGATTCATGAACCTTTTTCTATTTTGTGTTTTTATCTAATAATGGAGTGTGCTGACATAGTTGGTGTGTGTATATGAATTGAATATTTTTCTGTAATATACGATCATTCATGAACTGTTTTTTTATCTCGTGTTCTTATCTAATAAATCAGTGTGCTGACATAGTTTGTTTATATACTTAGTATTTGTCTTAAACTTTTCTACGTTTTTTCTTGAATTTATATTCAATCATAGTGTACTTTCTCATTTTGTAGAATCTTATGATTCTCTATTCGTTTCTAAAGGCCTCCATTAAACAAACATAGGATCCCAAACACCAAATTGTTAGTCAGTTTTCAAATACTAAATGTTTATTTCCAATGACCTACTAACCGTGCTTTGATACCACTTTGTCGTTCCCCGATTATTTTATTATTATTTGTTTATTTAGTGCATGATAAAAATAAAATAAAACCTTATTATCTTATCAAGGAAAAAAAAATACATCAACAATCCGAACCCACAAACCCCTCCATTAAAATTTCAAAATTTATGAAAGAAACATCTTCATAACATAAAAACATAGTCCTGTCCATTACAAATTTGAAATGAGGTAAAATTCCTTATGACTTCTTATGTAAAGAAACATCTTCATGAAATATGTTAGGGTGAGTTCAACCGCCCAGTAGAAAAACAACTAGTTAACCAGTATAGGCTCAATTCAATTCTAGGTAATAACATCAAGTCCAAGCATATGCAGCAAACTAAATGACCCTGACATGTATACTGCGCACACCAGCGAATAACCAGTTAAATGATCAATTAAAAAATCAGCCCATGACAGTTCACCTGTTTTATCAATCCAACTGACAGGCTGCACTAGGTCTGATAAATTCCTTAGGTTTGATCAAAATACCATCCCCCTCCCCTCTAAAAAAAGGGTAATGGTAAAAAAACAAAACAAAAAAAAAAAAAAAAGTTGTGGATTATGGACATGAGAGATGCAGTCACATTTGAACTGAAAACTCAACTGTGAATACTGAAGATGACTCAGACACCACATTGCAGATGATGGAAAGGCAAGTTCAGAAGTGGCCCTGGTTTTTAGTTTTTGCTATTCTAATATCAATAAAACACAGTCAAAGCTTGAAACTGGAAAATCAATTTTAAATCCTAGAGTTGCCCGAAAGCCACTTTGTGGAGTATGAGAAGGCAAGTTCAAGATTGGATTTGGTTATTGATTTGAACGATTCCAGGTCCATGGACTGGCTTAACCAAAAAGAGTGTTTCTTTTTGGTTTTGTGGTGTCTTGCATGATTTCGGTGACTACGGCGTCTGTATTTCTTCTAGATACAAGTGAACCTACTTTTTTCTGCTCGCAATGATATCTGTACAAATTCCATCTTTTTAGTGCACTTGTCACATATTATTGTCTTCCTTCTTGCCAAGTGATCTACATATCTACATCTGTCACGTTATCCACTGATTCTTACTCTCTTTTTCAGTTGTTGGCAATCTACGAACACAGAATTACTGTGGAAGGCTTCATATGGGGTATCAATTCTTTCGACCAGTGGGGAGTTGAGTTAGGAAAGGTATTGTATCATTTAAATCTCCATATAGACAACTTTTTTGGGGGGGGGGGGGGGGGGGGGGGGGGGGGGATATAAAGGGTTTTATTTAAGTAACCTGCTTTGTAGTTCCTCTACTTCAAAATCGTACTGTTACAGTATAAATTATTCTTTTTGCCTATTTAGTACTCTTTGTGGTCTTCCCTTTAATCCCTGTAGTTTCCGGTATTTTTATATGTTGTTTTCTGTTTGAGTTCCTGAAATTGTTTTTGTGAAATGCAGTCGCTGGCTTCCCAAGTCAGAAAGCAACTTAATGTCTCTCGTAAGAAAAGAGAACCAGTTGAGGGCTTCAACTTCAGTACCACAACAATGTTAACAAAATATTTGGAGGTATGTGAAAGCACCATTTCATCAAATGAGATTAATGAAAGATCCCATATTTATAGATCATTAGCAAAGCCATGCAACCATTTGTAAAAGAAAATTGCTACTCTCACGCTAACAAGAATCTGAACGGCGGCGTTCTCAATGGCTACATCTGATGAGCTTTTACAATTGTTGCATTTCCCCATGCAATGGCCTCTAAATTCTTAAACTTGTGTAAGTATAGAATTTGAGGAATATGGCCTGTATATGCAGTAGATAGAGATCCATTAAATCAATGATGTAATAGGTCTTATGTTTTTCAGTGAACCATGCAAACTAAAAAATCAGCTTTCTTTGATTATTATGACCACTTATGCTCTGTTTGTGTCACACATGTACTGTTTATACCGTAATCTTTTTCATTTTACATGAAAGAAATCGTTTCCCTTGTCATTTTCCATTATTTGGTTGACACTTTAAAAATAATTTATTAATACTAAAAAAAGCATTATGAAAACTTGTATTAGCACGTATATAGACAAGAAGACAATGTTTCGTATTAGCTTACATATTGATTAGTACATAGGTGTGTACATAAGTGGATGTATACGTAAAACTGTATGTAAGTATATTTTCTATATATATATATATATATATATACACACACACACCCACATGAATGTATAGTAATTTGTATTGTACATGTATGGCTGCAAATATATGCATCAAGTGCATTCATATGGATGTATACGGTATATATTTTTTATTTGTGCATCTTATTCTTAGGCATATGGTTTTCTGGTGTCTTCTAGGAAAATGAGTAATGGATAAATAATAATAATAAATAACTAATATATATATCTCAGAAGTCATTTTCATGTTTTGTGAATCCATCTTCTGTAAAAAATTGTGGAACATTGTAGTACAGTGTCAAACTCCCGAAAATGATTAAAGCTTTTATTGAAAAATGCTTTACATTAGAACACGTGAAGCATTAATTCCATTCATTTTATGGGGGTTTATATAAATTCATGGTTAAACTAATACAACACGCTGACTTTGGTGTAATTGTTATCTAAAATGCGATGTATTCAGCAAGTCTGAATCCTATGTGATATAGCATGCCTGTACAATTACCTAAAGTGTTTTGTGCATATCTTGCTACATGGATTTTCTATGAAACACTTCCAATCGAAAAAGGTGACTTACATTTTACTTAATTTTTGTGGCACTTTTACTGAACATATATTTCTCACTTGGCAGGCAACGGCTGATATCCCTTCGGATCCTCCCACTCTTTTGCCACACATGTGACCGTCTTTTCCGGAGAAAATATTTAGTAATCAAGTCGGGCATCTTCATGGTCAGAACCTCCTTCAGTGAAGGGAACCATCTATTCTCAACTTGAACGCTTTGCCCTGCATATCGTGTCTACGATCCTTGTTTTCTTTGCAGATTGAGTTTCTATGCTTTTCCGTTACTGTACAAATTTTGACTGTTCTAATAAGTTTTGATTGTTCTAAGATATTGTTGTAGTATTTGCTCGAGGGGCATAAGTAGTATCATTATAAGAAGAAATCACATGTATATATATATATGGCACCGCCAACTTTCTTATAAGAAACGGTTTTGTGAACTTGATTATGGAGCCAGTTGTTGAGCTTCAAGCTAAAGTTGAGAAGCTAAAGGAGATTAAAAACGCAATTGGTTCTCTTTCTTTTAATAGGGTTCTAACAAATCTTGAAGGCTGGGCTTTACAAATTGTCCAAATCTCACTGCATTGAGTGACCCAATCCAGCACTCCAAGCTTACAGTTGGATCTTGACATAGCTTGTGGATCTTTATGTTTGGTTTGGTAGGAGGGATGATGAGGGAAAGAAAGAAGAGAGGAGGGATATAACAAGGTCTATATTAGTCTCAACTGGTAGGAGAGAATTTGAAAGATGAAAAGGATAGAAGTGTTGAGTCATATCCTTTCTGATCCACCACAATGCTTGGTTCGGTATAGAAAGTAAGGAATAAATTTCATCTAATAGATAGGAGAGAGGATAATAAATGAATGAATTGCATCCTTTCTGATCCGTCGTGTTACTTTATGTAATATTTGGTTAGGAAGAGAGGAAGAGGGGAGAGAAAGACAGGAAAGAAGAAAAAACTGCATTCGTTTATTAAGTAAAAAAGAAAGAAAAATAGGATAAACGAGCCTTAATAAGACAAGTAGAATTATTATAAAAATAAATAAAATTAAAAAAATTAAAATAATATCCTTAATGTATTAAGGTAATATAGATAATGATTGAGCAATCCTATCGACGAGGTTCACCTGGAAATCGGTATCAGAATGGTTAAACAAGGTCACCCCGACTGCTCCCCTGTAGTCAGCATCAATCACACGGGCACCCACGTCCATCGAGTGCTTCCATGCCAACCCCTGTCTAGGGGCTACAAAACCCATTCCAAAAAAATGAAATAAAAACACTGTTATATATATATATATACTCCGTCCATTTCAAAAATAAGTTTTGATAATTCATTCACCACTAGTATAATTAAAAATTAATAAAAAAAACATTTTCCAAAAAGGACACTTCTATTGGTGCAGGGATAATTCCTGAATTTACTTGAAAGAAATTTGAGAGCTGAAATCTCTATGATATACCTTCTTAAATTCATGAATGAACTCATAATATAAATAGATTATCAAATATGCATTATATACAGTATAAACTGCAAAAATAATAATAATCCTCAATTTCTTTAAGAATCCTTATAACAAAATATTGACATGTTGAGCTCTGAAGTTCCTATAAGGCCATCTGTAGCGGGCTAGTAGCCCAAATGAGCCCGCAGCGGGCCAGTGGAAATTGGGCAAGCCCACATGGGCTCACAATCTAGCTCGCGGAATATCGCGAACCCAAGCCCAATTAGGAGGTTTTTTTTTTTTTTTTTTTTTTTTTTTTTTTGACTTTTGCCTTTTCCAAACGCCATCATTTTGTTTCCGTGTTTTCAAAACTGTAGAACAGTGCCTTAAGGCACGGTTGTTTGGCCGCATGAGAAACCCAAAAATAGGTTATTTTGATCTCATTTATTTTAAAAAAAATAAAACAAAATTTATTAAATAAAAAATATATTATTTAAGCACTGTTTGTCCAAAAATAATTTGATTTAGACCTCAAATAAATTAAAAACACTTTTTTTTTTTCCCTTAATCTTTTTTTTTGCTTTAAATTTAAATTTCTGCCACAAACAATACATTTGACCGTTAATACACTTTTTACAAAAATTAATTAAAATTAAAATTCATTTTCTTATTCTGAATTTTGTAACCCTTATTTTCTTATTCCAATTCATTATTTTTAATCTTAAAAAACCATTACATAATAAAAGTTCTAGTACATGAAATATTATAACATCTTAAAAGTAAACAAAATACAACATAAATTAAACATCTTCATCACCATTGCGGCTCCACAAATTTTTCATCAAATCATTCATCAACTGCGTATTTGTCTCTCTGTTGCAAATCTGAAGTTGGCGAGAGAATATGTGTGCCGCTAAAACTGATGGGCATTGACTTAAAGTGGGAATCGGGATTGCATCCTCCGATGACGGAGTCCATCTTCCAACATTTGCGTGACGCTCATCTTCAATGATCATATTGTGAAGGATGATGCATGTTTTCATTATGAGATGCAAGTCACCTTTCTCCCAGTAACGCACTGGTCCTTACGTTATTGCCCACTTGGTCTGCAATACCCCAAAAGCCCGTTCCACATCTTTCCTGCATGCCTCTTGTCTCTAAGCAAACAATTTCTCTTTTCTAGTGGTTGGGTGTGGAATGGTCTGCATCAAAGTTGCTCACTTAGGATATCTATCATTAGACAGGTAATACCCCGTTCTATAGTGATGTTCATTCACTACATAATTAACCAGAGGTAATTTGCCGTTGATGTTACCATTAAATACCGGAGAATGATCCAACACATTTATATCATTGTGTAAACCCGATATTCCAAAGAATGCATGCCAGATCCACAAATCTTGTGAGGCAATTGCTTCCAATATAAGAGTATTCTTACTAGAGAATCCCTTGTGTGTGTCATGCCACTTCATTGGACAATTCTTCCACTCCCTGTACATACAGTCAATAAAACCAAGCATACCCGGGAATCCTCTCTGCTCCCCTTCTTCAAGCAGCCGTGCTATGTCAGCTTCATTAGGTGGGCGCATATACTTCTCGGCATACACAGCAACAATAGCATTACAAAATGCCTTCAAGCATTTAATGGCAGTGCTCTCGCCGATTTTAATATACTCATCATAGTGATCAACTGCACAACCATACACGGGTATACGAACAGCAGTTGTCATCTTCTGTATAGAAGACAACCCCAGACGACCTGTCGCATCCTTTTTTTGGACAAAGTAATCATCATAAGCTTTGACATTTTTAAAGATACGAAGAAAAAGTTCTCATCGCATCCTGAATCGCCTATGAAAGTACTCCGATGGATATGTGCAATTCTCGTCGAAAAAGTCTTTCATTAACTGATAGTGACTTCCCTCTCGATCACAATGAATGTACCACTTCTTATTACGAACTTGAAATATTTGTTCAACTATCTCTGGCCTCACTAAATTCATAATCTCATAGAATTCATTTTGATCCTGTTGAATCAACACAGCAATAGAGTCATCTTCCGAAGAACTTGACGAAGAAGATGAAGAATTAGAATCTGCCAAAGAAAAAGCTTGTGATGACGAAATCATTGGAATTTCAAAATTAAAAAACATAGATAATAATATTTTGCTACAATAAAGAGAAATAAATGTAGTGATAATTTTCAGATTAACAAATGAGTATTCATTATACAAGATGAAAAATATAATTGTTAGAAAGAGTTTAAAAATAATAATATATATATATATATATATATATATATATATATTTTTAAAGCGAAAATTTGGAGAGCCTAATGGAATACATATTTCTGGAGAGCGAACTTTTGAAATTACTATTGTGACTCTTGAAAAAACTGAAATGACATTTTTAGAAAGCCAAAATCCGAGGAGAATAGTGCAGATGCTCTAATACCTTCTTTAGTGATAAAAAAGACCTTGTATCCTTTTTAAATTCATAAATCAACTCATAATATATATATGTTATCAATATATAAATATATAGCCATAATGTTTATGTTATTACAGATTCTTTTTTCATTTTACAACTATATTTTTTTTTTAACTTCTTGAAGGATGAAATGATAAATTAGTGACATGTTGAAAGATGCAGCTTTCAAATAATTGAGGTATAATTACATCACCGGGTACACTTGCAAAACCATGAAAGTTAAAGTAGTTTTTTGCAATTAAATGTTATATGTGTGCGCGTATAGAGAGAGAGGATTTACCAATTCGAGCATAGGTTCCTTCTGGTATTGCAATGCTAAGGTCTGTGGAAATCAAAGCTTTGCCTCTGGCTGGTACTTTTGTCTCTATTGCGCTACAAATCCAGATGAGACCCATCAATTTTTAGATATGGAGATTCACAATATTCAAACGAATTGGCTATTAAATCACATATATAAATATGTGTGTGTGTGTATACACTGTTCTGTGTATAATCCGGTATTTTACCTAGAGAGATCGTAACCAGCAGAGAGGGGAGACGCTCTTGAGGGCAGAACAGCTTTCTCGGAGAGCATCTTCACTCGCAATAGCGGGGTAGAAGTGTGTGTGACGTCGTTTTGGTCGAGTTTCTGAACCTTTGGTGACCGTTCTTTGATTTCGGTACTGATGATTTGTGGATCTTGTTGAGGCATTGCTACGGAGTTTGAGAGCGAGAACAGATTGTGGCTATGAAAATTTACACAAATGGGATTTGAAATGGCTCTTGATCTGGAGAATTGGGTTTTTATAGGGAGTGAAATTACCCACGAAAATCGGGGTACACAATATGGCGCCAAGTATTCCCGCCACTTTTTGGGGCAGAGGTTATAAGTGAAATTTTAAGGAGATTTAAATTTGGGTAAATTAAGTTGAGCTGAAGATTGGGGAGAATTTGGTTTTTATTATTTTAATTTTATAAAAGTGTTAAATGTCTTTTATATCTTTATTTAATTTAATAAAAAAATATGTCAAATTAAAAGACTTTATTATCCTTTTTTTTCTCTCCTTGTAAACACTATATTATCCTACCTTCTTTTTAAAAATATAAAATAAAATAATAATCAAACCCTAAAAAGAAAATTAATCAAATGTCATTAACAAAAAAATAAAATTTTATTTTTTAAAAATTTAATAATAAAAAATTGGTATGAAAATTGATATTTTGGCATTTTAAGGTAATTTTGTTATTTCATGTCAAACTATAAGATTATTAAGGTCATTAAATACAAAGGTTAATTTTACTGACACCTCTTCAAACTTGGACAAATATCACATTGAAACGCTTTCGAAAATCATTATCACTCACATTGTAAATGTTTGTTCCGTTTTTCACTCACACCACAAAATTACTTTTCAGTCAAATCACTTTTTGCATATAAAAATTCATTGTTGTTACCCTTTTTTCACTTTGTGTTGTTAAAATTTTGATTGAAGTATAAAATGACTTAATTACCCTATAAAACCTATGTTAAATGACCAAAGTATCCATTAAAATATATATATGTGTGTGTGTATATATATATATATATATAACTTTACAATAGCATCAGTTTTTTGTTTTGATAAAACAATTCAATAGAATAGCATTAACCATTCATTTGTTTTTTTCTTCTTTATATATATATATATTATATGTTTCTAACTCCATCATAGATAAAATATATAAGCCTATAAGGTTGAATGGAATGTGATAGGGAAAAATATAAACCTACCCTACCCTCGATAAGATTAATTAGATTTCATTATCAAGGATAATGAAATCAAATTTGACGTGTTTCAACAAGTGAGAATAATCCTACTATAACTAGAGGAGGTCAAAAGGATTAAATCATATCCCGACAAATCTGGTAATAAATCTCCTATGATTTCGCACAAGCGGAAGATAAGGTCAACCATCGATATCAGCGGAACGATTTTGATTCCAATCGACAGCTATAAATAGGGTATCAAGCCATTAAAGAAGGTACGACGTAAAAATTATTATTAATTCTGCCTTCTTTTTAGACCTCCGTGACTAATTTGATCGTCGGAGAGCTCTTGGCAGGCACCACACCGATGCCGTCAAGGTTCATCGATCTTCTCCTCTCTTCCTTGCAGGAAAACAGTATCATATCGGACTGCGCGAATTTCAGCCTCAACAGAATGTATCCACAAATATCTGTTAATATTTAGACAAAAAATAATAATAATAATTTAAGAAAATGATGAGAAGCCAAATATTGGATATAATTCAACAGGGTCTTGAATAAAACCCAAGAAAATCTGAAGAAAAATACAAAAATCACATATTTTGGGAAGAGAGAATCATAAATTTCAAGAGGTCTGAGTCCATACATGTATATATATCTATATATGTGCATATATGCACTGTGTGTATGTGAGATCGCCACCAATTAAGTCACCAACTTTGATGAAATCAGGTGGGATTAAATGAAGAACAAATCCTAATTAGAATACAAAAACTACATATGTATATATATGTATGAACCCATAATGGATTTAGAACTTTATATACAAATGGGTTTATACAGAATGTCTTTATATGGGGTAAAATCACATAACCTCTTTTTACTTTCATTACATAAATAAATAAATAAAACTACAAAACCGTTAACCCATTATCCCATTTCTGTTTAATTGCCGTCCATAGTGCGGACATGTTTGTCACCTGCTCCTGTTTAATCATTTTATGCCAAAAATGTCCCTCAGGCCAACAAGTAACTTGGACCAGCTGGTTACACTCCCTTATGCCGAAAATGTCCTCAGCTACTTGACATTTCTTAAATTAAAAAAAAACCCACTTGCGTCTGCAAAAAAATGAATGGTGATTCCTTCTCCTTTAGGTCTTCTCTATATTTCTTCCCAAACAAACAAAAATCAAGAAACTAAAAACTGGTTTTAGTTTCGCCTGCAGGTTGATTTTTAGTTCCGCTCTTGAAAATAAAAAGATCTGTTCTACATTTGATAAATTGGTTCCTTTTGTGAAATCATTTAGCTTTCTGTGAATTGTTCCATTTATAAACCATTGTAGGGGTTCTTTTTTACTAGGTAATAAAACAACAATAAAATAGAAATATCAGGAATATAAATACGAAGGAAAACAGAGGAGATGCTCAGTGTAGGAGGAGGAGAAAAAGACCAACTATCAAGATCAAGATGGTGGTAGGCGCAAGTATACAGTATTTCATGACAGCTTTTCTTCCTTTCGGGAGGTTGGTTCTTTCTTCATAGGACAGTACCATTTATAAATCTAGATTCCATTGGTTATTATCCAATGGTCCCTTCTATGCATGGTTTTTTTCTGCATGCATCACCCCCAATCCAAATTACGTGAGTAATTTTAAAGATTTAGGGGTTTGAAGGGTCTAATCCTTTCCTCGAGCCTTGTCCCATGTTGCCATGTCACTTCTCCCCTAATCAGGGGCATTAAATGTTGCTTGGCCGTCGGTTGGTCAAGCCTGACATAGCATTAATTGTGATTTTAAGGTTTGCTGTCACAACGTGTATAATCCCATCATCTTGTTAATTGGGCCTTGTCGAGAGCGAAGGCACCTCTTAACTTCTCATCCACCAATCCAAGATCCTCTTAAGTTTCCCAAATATGGATTCCTATAACACGAAGATCCTACCTTCATCTCGTGCTAAGGAGCCCCAATCTTTCAAAACAGCATTGTCTGGCGTAACACCAGGATTCGGGATATTCGAGAGTCGGTCTCTCGAGACTTGATGGGCCTGGTGTGGTGCCAGGGCTTGGAATGCTCGAGGATCAACTTCTCGAGGCTTATTGGGCCTGGAGCGATGCCAGGGTTTAGAGTGCTCGAAGTTGATCTTTCGAGGCTTGATGGGGCTGGAGCAATGCCAGGGCTTAGAGTGCTCGAGAGTTGATCTTTCGAGGCTTGATGGCCTGGAGGAATGCCAGGGCTTAGAGTGCTCGAGAGTTGATCTTTTGAGGCTTGATGGGCCTGAAGCAATGCCAGGGCTTAGAGTGATCGAGGTTTGATCTTTCGAGGCTTGATGGGCCTGGAGCAGTGCCAGGGCTTAGAGTGCTCGAGATTTGATCTTTCGAGGCTTGATGGGCCTGGAGCAGTGCCAGGGTTTAGAGTGCTCGAGATTTGATCTTTTGAGGCTTGATGGGCCTGAAGTGATACCAAGGCTTAGAGTGCTCGAGATTTGATCTTTTGAGACTTGATGGGCCTGAAGCAATGCCAGGGCTTAAAGTGTTCGAGATTTGATCTTTCGAGGCTTGAGGGCCTAAAGCGATGCCAAGGCTTAAAGTGCTCGAGATTTTATCTTTCAAGGCTTGAGGGCCTGAAGCGATGCCAGGGCTTAGAGTGCTCGAGATTTGATCTTTTGAGGCTTGAGGGCCTAGAGCGATGCCAGGGCTTAGAGTGCTCGAGATTTGATCTTTTGAGGCTTGAGGGCCTAGAGCGATGCCAGGGCTTAGAGTGCTCGAGATTTAATCTTTCGAGGCCTTTGACTTTTCAACTTGCTAAGTAGGATTTAGCTATGGTTGTATTGACTTGTCAACGTGCCACATTAGCGTCTAATGAATGACACCCACATTTTGCCCCCCTGCACGTGCGACGATTCAGAATGAATTATTGCGCGTACAAGACTAGGTTTCTAGGTCATTTATTATTTCGAAAAGGCTGAAGAGACGCGAGCATTAAAGGTCGCCTCCAGTTATTAATGTGACGTTTGTTGCTGTAATACCCCTAATTTTAAAAAGGATAAAATTGGATAAAATTAGAATTTCAATTATTTTTATTACATTTTTTTTATGTGACTAGTTATTTAAGTGTGTAATTGTTTTACTTTGTTAATTGATTTAATTGTAGTTATGTGTGTTTTGTTTGTTTAATGTTTAAATTGTTTTAAATTTAATATGTATTATAGTTTTAGGGTTTTGTTTTATTCTCATGAGTTTTTCCGGCTCCTTTCAGAATTTTAGAATTCTATTTAGGTTTTCCTTAAACCTCTATAAATACATCATTATATTTTCTTAGGGTTTTTGGAAAAATAAACACAAACCCTATTTTCAAACCCTATTCACGTACAGTGAAAATACAGAGAGTTGTAGAGTGCAAACAGAGAGAGGGTTTGAGGAAAACAGAGTAACCTAGTGAGGGTTTTGGTTGCGGTTTAGGGTTTGAACTTAGGGGAAGGGAAGGCTGAGCAGTAGAGGGTGGAGTTGACAGTACTCGGACATCGTCGGAAAGCTTAGGAGACGGCGACATGGTTTTGAATCCAAAACTGTAAAGGCAAATTCTATCTTCCTCTTTCCCTTTGGGCCGTGTTCTGTGCACCTAGATGATCTATAGGGAATAACTAATCAATGATTGAAACCTACATGTTTATTATATGCTTGGGTGATAGTCTGTTTGTTTTAAAATCCAATATATTTACAGTTCGTGTATATTTGTTTCAGTATCCTGTACGTTAAATATATTGATTCTGTTGTAAATTTAGTCTCTGTATTTTATTGCAACTTTTGTAAACACAATATAGGAACACTACTGGGGTTATACAAAGCTTATAGGGATGCTATTATTCTATTTTAAATATGTGTTGCAATCCGTTCCGCTTCAATTTGCATATGGTTCTAGTGTTCATACTAACAGCATGTTAAGTTGGGTAGCAAACTTAAGCTTTGTAATTGATTTAAATTGCTATAATCAAACCTTGGGGATGCT